TCTGATACTCTTTTGAGACCCAGAAAATAGGGCTGTAGTTATGGGGTCCATTTTCAGCATGATATGAACTGGATTTAAAAACCGAGATTCGTCCTGATCGGCTCAAAACTTGTTAGAATGCGACGAAACTTTACGGGTGTTCTTAGGGCATCCAAAACTACCCTCTCATGCAATTTGAGGCCATTCTAACACTTCTTTAGAGGTCACCTAATATCAAGCTTATTGCTACAATGTTCTCGTGGTCTGTTGGCATCTTTGGCACTGGTGGGACCATGTTACTCCCGGCTTTCTCCTTTTGCATCCCGGGGATACAAGTACGTCAAAAATGACGTATAACAAGGAGGAGAAGAGAAAAGAAGAAAAAGGAAGAAGAAAGAAGGAGAGAGAAGAAGAAGAAGAAGAACGAAGAGGAAAGAAAAGGGAGAAAGAAGAAAAAGAAAGGAGGAGAAGAAAGAAGAAAAGAAGAGAGAAAAAGGGATCGGGTACCTAGCAAATAGGGTGATGGCTCGAACCCCACGGTCCCTTGCAGGCTCTTGAGAGGGATTGGGTCTTTGGGTAGAGGGTTAGGGTGCACGGTTAGGTTTGGGTGAACCTAGGTGGGCTATGGTGTATGGTTGACCGGGCTAAGTATGGGTGAACTAAGGTGTAGGATATGGTGTGGTGTAGGGAGTAGGCTTAAGTGGGTTGAGATGAGTGATCAAGGGTGTAGGGTATGGTGTGTTATAGGGAGTAGGGTTAAGTGGGTTAAGATAAGTGGTATAGGGTGTAGGATATGGTGTGGTATAGGGCGTAGGGTATAGTGTGGTGTAGGGAGTATAGAGCATGGGAGTAGGAAGTGGGAGGTTTGGAAGTTTGGGATATGGAGGTATTCCTCTCAATGCAAAAATATTCTCTGTCCTCTCTCTTGAAGTAAGAAAGATGCACAAACTTAAGGTCAAGGGGCAAAAGCTTAGGATTTTTTATCTCTTCTTTTCAACTTAGGTTACAAATGAAGGAACTTATATATGATCTTTACAAAACAAGGGTGGATGATCAAAATAGAATATTTTTTTTTGAATAAAATAATCAATCCCATTTTTCTGCACAATGAACAGTTTGCCCTTGGAATCTTGCAAATGACAAAACCATCCCTTTTGGAGGGGCCATTTGCTATAGCTAGGCCTCAGGGCCGTTTTAGGTGTTTTACGACATCATTTTGAGAGATCCGACATCGTAGAAACGATGGTCGATTTGGTACCCATTTTGAAGCTTGAATCAAACTTTTGGTGATGAACCCAAAAATTCCGGCCAAGTGTACAAACTTGCGAACTTTGATCCTTAATGTAGCTTGATTTATCGTGGTTTTGGTCCTTTCTTTTTCACAAATCGAAGGGGAAGTCGTCGTGATCATTTTGCAACGAAACCCCCCCCCGATTTGAGTGCCGATTGATCACTTTCTTATTTTGGATGGTCGCTGGAAAATGGAATTCTGGTGCCAAAAAATCATGCCTTCTTGTAAACTTGAATTAGAGTGGCTTCTTGACTCCAATCTTAAATAAAATTTACCTCAAATTGAAGCCCTTTGAGTTGCGGTCGCAAGACCCGCTCTAGACGAAATTCAATGTTGGGGCTTCGAGAAACGACCATGAGAATGAATGGATGTTTCTCTTTAAAAATTCTGCAATTCATGGCTTTTTGGGTCCAACTTCTCTCTAGGATTTCTATCGTTCTGGGCATCATCTCAGGTCGTGCCATATATCAAAACATGTGTTTTGATGAGACACAACATACTGAAATTTGAGCTTGATTGACCTTAAAATGAGAGAGTTATGATCTTCACAAGGAATTCTCGTTTTCAAAAAGCAGTTTCCATTTTTGGAAACTGGTTCACTGAGGTAGCACAGGAATAGTGTGAAACCCACTCATTTTATGTAAGTTAAGCCTAGAATGGTCCAAAAAGGTCCAAATTAGCTGAAAATTGGTATTATGGGGTTTTTCGATCTTCTGAATCTATTGGTGGTGGTTTGGTACTCACTAGAAACCTTGGTAATGTAGCTCTAGTTATGAGGTACTTTTTCAACATGCTAGGAAACGGCATTGTAAATGAAATTTCCTTCTGATCTGCTTTATCTTTGTCCGATCGAGACGAAACTTGGCGGGCATCCTTGAGGCGTCAAATGCCATCCTCACAAGCTTTTTGAGGTCGAGATGATACCTTTTCAGATTCTCCCAAAATTAGACTTATTGGTGCGGGCTTCCATAGCCCATAGGTGTGACTGGCACCCACGAGCCTAGGTCGTAACTGCCTCCTCTAGTATTCGTGCCGGGGAATTAGTGCGTCAAAAATACATACTAATAATCACGTTTGGAAATTTTTTGTTCTGGTGATCGCATGCTCCATTCTCCAAGAACCCTTTTGTTGATTCTATACACATATGGGCGATATTCATTAATGGATATATTTTTATACTTTTCTTGTATATTACTTAGAATCAAAAAATGATTTTTTTTTCTATTTTAACACTCCATTGGCATAAATGAGGGTGGAGGTCATAGATACATTCGTAGGATTAAGATATCGGAACTGAAAAAAGCTTTGAAGAAGATGAAGATAGGAAAGGCTTTATGATCAGATGGTATCCTGATAGAGATTTGGAAGTGCATGGGGAAATTAGCATTGACTGGCTGACCAAGCTGTTCAACAAGGTGTTGAGAACAAAGAAAATGCAGATTAATGGAGGAAAAGTATTGTACTACCTGTTTACAATAACATAGGTGGCATACAAAATTGTACGAACTATTGAGGATCAAACTTATGAGCCACACTATGAAGCTGTGGGAGAGTGTGATTGAACAACTACTAAGGCATGAAATGAGTGTATTAGAAATCAATTCGGTTTTATGCCAAGGAGGTTAACAATTGAGGTTATTTTCCTATTTAGGCAGCTGATTGAGAAGTTTAGGGTTAAGGGAAATTACTTCCACATGATAAAGTGCCTCGAGATTTAATTTGGTGGGTGTTGGAAAAGAAAGGGGTTTTCAGATACTGCATTGACGTGGTGAGTGATATGTATGAGGGAGCGCTAACTAGTGTGCGAACGACTAGTGGCGAGACGAGTGAGTTTTCAGTGACAATAGCTCTATATAAGGAATCAATATTGAGCCCATACCTCTTTGTCTTAGTTATGGCAACTTAACTAAACGCTCACAAGGTGACATACCATGGTGTATGTTGTTCGTGGATGACATAATTTTAATCGATGAAACCCGAAATGTTGTCAACACAAAGTTAGAACTTTGGAGGGATGCTTTAGAATCTAATGGTTTTAAAATTTTCCATATTAAGATAGAGTATATGGAATGCAAGTTTAGTAATAATAGGAGTAGAGATGAGGAAGTAGTTAAGATTAACGGCCAAGAAGTTCCAAAAAGAGCACACTTTCGAAATCTTGGGTCGATAATCCAGAAAAATGGAGGGAGTGGGAAAAATATCGTACATAGGATTAGAGCTGCGTGGGCGAAGTTGAGACGTGCAACCAAAGTTTTAAATGATCGCCGTATTACCAATGAAGCTGAAGGGGAAGTTCTATAGGATGACTGTGCGACCAGGTTTGCTTTATGGATAGTCAAGAAGCAAGATACCCATACGATAAGTGTAACTGAGATAAGGATGTTGAGATGGATGAGTGGCAAGACAAGAAGGGATGGAATTTAAAATGAATACATTTGAAAGAACTTAGGTGTGACACCAATAGGCAATAAGATAAGAGAAAGTAGATTTATGTGGGTTGGCTATATGTAGCGCACACATAGTACAATACCTGTTAGGGGGTGCAAGTTAGTTCATGTGGAAGGCTAAAAAAAAGCAAAGGGTAGGCCCAAAAGGACATGGTTGGGGGTAGTGAGAAAAGATATGGGAACTTATAGTCTCACTAAGGGTATGGCCCTTGATAGAGTAGAGTGGTGGATTAGGATTTGTGTAGCTGACCCCAAATAGTTGGGAATAGGCTATGAGGATGATGATGATGATGATAATGTATTTTAACAAGTTAACACACATTTCTTTCTCAAAAAAAGAAAAAATACATTGACATACATTGTGTATGTGTGTGTGTTGCCTATTACATTATTCTCCTTTGCTCTCATGCTTCCATATGATCTTTATGATTACCATAAATCTGTTTTGCACTGCTCCCTCTATTCTGCTTCTCAGAAACCCTATTAATCTTCATATTTTGGATTACTGCTCCTTGAAACTTATCCCAAATAATTCTGACCTATCCCATCATTTCGATGCTGTCCAGCCTCTGGTTCGATGTTCCTCTATTTTAACAAATGCCCCCAACCTCTGCTCAATATACCCATCTTATCCATATCTGCCTTCTATCAAATGGCTGTGGAATTTATTCTTAATTATTTTAATACTAATTGTAACAATAACAATAACAAAAAAAGACATATAATAATAATGTGAATTTTGAAAACTCAGAAGAAATAATTAGAAACTGTGATGCAATCTACATCGTTCTGTGAAGCAAATTTGTTTCTTAACTACAACTTGATTATTCTATAACAATTTATATTATCAATCTGAGTTCTAAACTGTCTTTGAATGAATTGAAATCTGAGATCTCGATCAAGATGTGGACCATCAGCTCATGTATATCTAATTTTCTCTCGACGTTATTGTTAACTGGTTCTCCTGTTTAATGACTCTCTATAAGTTGTTTGAGAGCATTACTCTTTGAAAAAGAGAGCTCTTTGAATGATTCTATGAACTTGAATGCATTTATTACTGAGGAATTGTGCACTTGAAAATGAGGAAAATATGGTTCAAGAGTACTCATATTCATCCATAAATATAAAAAAAAGAATAATTACTCTTCGTAATGTTTTCTTAATGGGGTTCTTCATATTATTTTCATTCTAGAATTAGGTGTTGATCTTTTCCATTGTTGCTTCCTTTTTTATTATCTATCTTCTTCGTTTCCTCAACCAGTTTCTTTTGGGGCCTTTTGTAGGAAGGAGTTCAGCAGCTTGTTCTTGGCCTGTACATCATCCGTGGAGATAACATGTGCTGGACCTTTACTTTCTGACTCACTCGCATTCATTTATTTACAATGATTTCATTTTTACTAAATGCTCATGCTTGTGATATTTCCTGGTTGACTGTTTCTCTTTGGATTCAGATAATCATCGCGAACAATCTTCAATGATAGTCTTATTCTTAAATGACAATGTTGTTAGTTATATGACTAATCTCTCCGTTGGTCATTTTGCAGAAGCGTAATCGGAGAGTTAGACGAGGAACTTGATTCAAATCTCGACTTGTCAAAACTGAGAGCACATCCCTTGAAACCTGTGATACACTGAGAGTTGTAAGATATTCCAGATTTATAGTGTAGGATTGTCATGTATGAAGCAGCATGTGCACCTGGATGTCTTTTGATTGATTGATATATCATGCCTGGGCAAGCTTTGAGAATCCCTGGAGCCTTGAGTTATGAAATATCCTCATGAATATAATTCCTTGGGTTTTCTTGAGGAAATTGCTTCATGGCAGTTAAATTTCAGATGAACTGATATACTGCTTTTTGTTGTTGGTATTTGGACATGAAACGAGGACATGAGGTAAATGTGTTCGATCTATGAGGGCTTTACAAAACTATGTAGTTCTGCCATGGATTTTTGCTGATTCCTCCAAAATTTGGTCCAATTTGTCAGGTTGTTATTAAATCTATGTTGTTTAGATAATATGGGGTGAAATATTACCAACTTGGGTGTTCTCAATAGTGTTGGTCTAATCGTTATTCCAAATCTAGATGGACTAGGTTAAAACCCATCGAGATTCGAGTGGTTCATTTCTCAGAAATTTATGCACGGATTTGAATAACAAGAGTGCCCATTTTATGGTGCTATTTTGGATTATAATTGGACATTTGGATTTTTTAGGGCATGTTGCTAATTAGGTGGAAGGATTCTAGGGTCCGAACGGTAGAGATTTATACAGCCGAAGATATGAATTCAAGCTTCTTTATAGTGCTCTACAAATGGTCATTAATCGTGAATCTGGTTTTTACGAGTCAGCCGACTAATCTATTTTTATGCATCCCCCTCCAAAATCTATCTCGGACCCTGAATTTGATGGGAAAAAAAAGGAAATAAAAAAAATTGAAATTACGTTTATATTGAGGCGCCAATGTGTGTCGAATGGACTCCGAATGACTGTTGATGCTTTGGGGAGTCCGATTCACAAATCTTTTCCTTTAAAAATTTATTTGAGGATTTAGTATTTGGAAATCATGTGTAAAGATTGGAATTCGATTCACAAATCTTTTCCTTTAAACATTTATTTAAGGATTTCGTATTTTTTATCAAGAATATGGAAATCATGTGTAAATATTTATTTATTTTTAATCGAATATTTGGACAAGGCAAAATAGCCTACTGATACCACCACTTTGCGATTGTTTGCTTGGTGATGTTTTGGTGTGCCAGCTAAGGCACTTTGTTTACCCTCCCTCCAAATCTGTCTTAAAGGTGTATTTGGATCCAAAAAGCAGAATAAATAGAACATGGTACTAAAGAAAAGAAAGATAAAATATTAGGATGTAGTTTCGTATAAGGATGCAACCTCAATCGGAGGGAAAATATTATATGTGCTTTTGTATAAAGATGCAACCTCAAACATCCAAAGGCGCACTTCCAAATTTATCATAAAATGTTGGTGTCAAAAATTGATAATCCATTTTCATCTCTAATTATGAAATTTTAAACCCTAAAAAATATTTCAAAGCAAGTAAGTTTAAAAACATATGAAAATTTTGAAAATGGATGGTCCAATTAATGTGTTACAAGATGTACTATTTTTAAAACTTAAAGTCTTTTTCCACGTTGAGATGATTGATTAGAGGGATTTCTAACATCTAAACAACTTTTTCTGATGAGTTTTTGAGGAGTTTTTGAGGTGCACCTTGATTGTACTTTTTAAGGTTGCGATCTTGTACAAACTTTTTCCAAAATATTATGACGTCACAACTTCATAAATTTAGACTCATTCATTCATACATGTAGTGATCACCAATTGTGCATGGGAAAACATCATCCTGTGCAGGACTACGAGACCAAACCAGCAATCCAACTAATTCTAAATGGGTTGACCACTCACTTTTGTGGTCCCAAAACATAAACATGCCCAGTTGCATTCAAACTTTGTGGTTGCCCAGTCCGACCAGCTGGTTTTGAAGGTCGAATCAAATAAAAGGTCCCTACGAGAGCTAGAAAACAAGGGATTGTCTTCCCATAATCTTTTACCCATCATTAATAGTGGTTTCTCCAGTTGACTTCCAATCCCATACTAAAAACCCAGTGATCTGATCCGGGAATATCATGACGCAATATACACAGTGGCGGATGATATGCTTAAGCCAGTCTCTCTCTCTAGCTGGTAAGAGACACCATCTAACCCGCCAAACCACTTTTGAAGCAATTTTACCTCCCACCATTTAGCGATTTCAAAAGTATCAGAACAGTTTGCTCTTATATCTTTCTTCTGCAATATCACCCACAGTTTAGAAAGAAAAATAATCCTCCTCATCATCGAGGCTTAAAACATTCTAAGCAATCAAACTGAAATTTTATAAATCCCATTCTATCCAAAAGAAGACAGAACAATTCAAACATAGAATACAGCATCCTCTTGTTTTTCGTCCTCTGTAATAAAGATATCAATGGCCAGAAGCAAATAGTGAGAAATAAACCTAGATATCATGTTAGTCTTTAAGAAGAGGGAGGCGAGGCACCTGCATCTTTCACGGTTTCCCGCCATGCATACTCTCTTGCTCCATCTTTGTCCACGATTTTAATGACAAAATTGGGGGGGGGGCACTACAAGTCTGGACCGAATCTCCATTATGCATTTGTCGACTAGGTCCACTGCCTTTTCCAAAGACATGCCCCTGTGATAGTGGCGATCCATCATTGACAACGAAAAGTAAGATCCATATCCAAATGCCCCCTTATCGACTTTGTGGAGGGTAGCTATGTAGTCAATGAAGTAGAGAGATGGACCCGTCTCTTTGTCATAGCCAGCTAGGAGGATGTTCACAAAGTAAGGGTTCTGCATGGGAAAAAGATTATTATGAATCATAGAGATAATCTAATTATAGTGAGTAAAACTGGCGTGCCCTACCTATAAAAAAAGAAAAACAAGGGAGTAAAACTGCCGTGCCCTACCTATAAAAAAATAAAAACAAAGGGAATTGAGATTCAAAGATTTTTCTCTATTGTATTGTTAATTTGGTAAACTTCTGAAGCACTTATACAAATATCAACACCATGAGATCAAAGACCAAATACAACAATAAAAGCAATATTACTTATCAAATGAAGGAAAAAACAAAAAGTAATATGATAGAGAAAGGCCATCCAAGTACAAATATATGCAGAATCTGGAATTCTTATCCCTCAAATTCAAATTCTACAGTTCACAAATAATGGAAGTGAAAACTTGAGAAACTTCATGGATATTCCAAAAAGCAAAAGCCCAAATCCCCGACTATATCAAATTTATGCAGTTATAGTTCTTTTTTTTTTCTTTTTTTTTTCTCATAATGTTTTTCTTTTCCTTTTCTACTAGTTGGCGTGTGTGCATGCAGGAGCATCCCGGAGGAGCGAAATGGATTGGATTAAGTTGGTCTACGGGGTCCCTAGTAGAGAAATGGCTTATAGTCACCGATTATATACCTTACATTCACAATAGAGAACTTGGAGGGCATTGACTATACCCCATTACTCCTACCAGTCACGGATTATTTATTCCAGCACCACCTTCCACCAAGGGATTCTTCACCACCACTTCTTGTACCTTTTAGAATAGGAGTCTTTTAGAATAGGAGTCTCTCTACATACATTATAATCACACTGAGAATTAGAAACCACCTGATGTCCCTCATCTCACGAGTTCTACCTTCTCAACCCCCTGGCCTAAGGCTGGCACCCTGCTGTAGCAGGCCTCACTACAGCAGGCCTCAGTGGCTGCCAACTTTTGGACAATCTGAACCGAGAGAAATGCCAGAATTTTTTGAAGCCAGTCATCTCCGGTGAATGCACTAGTAGAAAAGATCAGAGAAGCAGCCATCTTCTGGGCCACTCACCACAAACAGTTAAAAAATCTTTGCCTCTGACTTCTCCACAGCTGGACTCCCATTCTCTCTTTCAAACCTCAGAGGCCACCACGCTCTTCCCTTTGGAGACCACCCGAAGTGGGTCACATTAAGCTTAACTTTGACAGGTGTTCTCTCGGAAACCCAGGCCATGCAGGCATAGGTGGCTTGTTCCGCGATCACAACAGCAATACCCTTTGCTCCTTTTCTATTCCCATTGGTGTCTCTGATTCAACAATTGCGGAGGCCTCTGCCCTCTGGGAAGGCCTCAGGAAGTTAGACACTAGCTGGGGGCAGTATGTAACTATTGAAGGCGACTCTTACAGTGTTATAGCCTGGGCCTCAGGCACTGCCCCCTAGCCTTGGAGGCTTGACAACATCTTCGAAGAAATCTGTCAACCGACAAGGAATCTATAAATCTCGTGGAATTACGTTTTGAGAGAAGCAAATGGTGAAGCTGATTCCCTAGCAAAGGCAGCTGAAACGTTGTCTCAAGCTAAGCAAACGCTACGGAACCTCTGCTCGAGTTCCTATCACAGATTGGAATTGATAATGGCTCAATTCATATACAGCTTTTGTGATATACCCTTGGTTTTGTACAGGGCACCGTTTGTAAGTTGCCTATTTTTTGGGCGGAACCTGTCTGTGGGTATCCTGCCCCCCTCTCCTCTCACATTCTGTACTCACTTTCAGTTCAATACAGTCAACATATTCAAACAATATATATAAATATATCCAAGGGATTTAATAGGTGCAACGGTCAAAGCCCCTTCAGGAATCACTTATATAACTGAGTCTCTCTCTCTCTCAAAGCCATTAAGCCCTCCCAACGTGAATGGGGGGCAGAGCTTGAATGTTCATCGATAAGCTCTCCATTACAAAAACATGGGTTCTCGAAGTTTAACTGAATGCAACCACATGGAATAACAGAAAGGACCCACAAGGGAAAAAAACAAAGGTCAATTGAAACCACATACAACATACACTGCACTACATGAATCATGTGAGCATAACTCATCCATAAAAGCCAAGCAGCCTAAACAATAAATGACATGTAGAGGAAATAAGCGCATGAACAAGATGGCTTGAGTTCTAGTTAAGGAGATGGTATCCTGCAGCATCCTAATCAATAAATGACATGTAGAGGAAATAAAAGCATGAACAGGATCGCTTGAGTTCTAGTTAAGGAGATGGTATCCTGCAACATCCTAATCAATAAATGACTTCTAGAGGAAATAAGCGCATGAATCTAGATGAACAAAAGAGAGGAGGCATACAACATGCTATGACAACTAAAATCATTCAATAAAGGTGAAAGGGGGAACAGCCTTACAAATCACATATTCATGCTTCATCAATCACGAATTCACGTCTCCTTGAAGAGAAGTAATATGAAGCAATGAAATAAACTTTAAGAAGCTATCCCACAGAACAAGGAGACCTCAGCACCCAATCACCAGACAATCTTACAATAATATTAAGCAATGAAATAAACTTTAAGAAGCTATCCAACAGAACTAGGAGACGTCAGCACCCAATCACCAGACAATCTTACAATCCATTACTCAAGCATATCCATTTGGCACAATCAATCCTATCCTTCTTCATCAACTCGAACTTCAAGCTTTTTTTTTTTTTTTTTGAGAATAAGCTTCTAGCTTTTGTTGACTTGTTCTGCAATTTTTCTACCTCCATCAACACAACTAATTACCTTTCCCTATCACTGAAGCTATCCCACAGAACTAGGAGACCTCAGCACCCAATCACCAGACAATCTTACAACCCATTACTCAAGCATATCCATTTGGGACAATCAATCCTATCATTCTTCATCAACTCGAACTTCTAGCTTTTGTTGGCTTGTTCTGCAATTTTTCTATCTCCATTAACACATCCAATCACTTTTCACTATCACTAACAGAAATTGTTTTTCTGACAGCTCATTCCCCCATTCTCCAACCTACTATAAATTAAACTATTCTATCTTGAGATTCACTAACTTGACATGGACATGCATGGAGAGTGGCTCACATAAAACTAAGCTTCATTTAACTTATCTTCATTCCCTTTTATGGGGATAAGCTCAAGTCAATCTGCTCATTGCCGATGTTCAATTTACTTGAGCAACTTCTAATAAACAGCCATTGAGAATTTCATTTCCTTGTGTCTATCCACTAGAGTTGAAAATAAGCGTCCAATTTTTTATTTTTTATTTGTTTTGAACCGTAAGCATCTAAGATATTTTATATCACAGAAGGACGATAACAGAAAGACAAAACAAGTCAAACTCCCTATTTTTCAGGGAAGTACTGACGAGCTCCAATATGATAGTAATGGTGTGCATGAGGGAACATGGTCACACATGAGCAAATGCATTAATACACAATATAATTTCCCGACACTCGTCAAATTGACCCTTTATGAGCACCTAGTCATGAGGTTTTTATATAGTATCAAGGATTCATCACTCATGAATAAATTGTGCACAATTCCTTTGACCCTGCGAATATGCATCTAGGATATATAATCCTCTATGGGTAGATTTTCTTCACGAGGAATTGTCCATTCTGATGTGGATTTGCTCTTCTATTCTACCATTCAAATTCCTTGGCAATTTCCAGCATAGACATTTTAAAATCATATCAAGCCAGTAGGATTGGAAACATCGCCAAATTTGCACCCATTGTCAAAGGTGTTGCAATCATGCCATCCATGATTATGACCATTGGGTATACCAAGGGAGCTTCCTCGGTTGATCAACATTGACTGCACAATATTTGCACCCATTAGTCATGCTGCGGTGCAAGGTTCTCAACAAACATTCAATACAAATTATCCAAAAATACATTTTCTTTCAAAAAAATTATCAAAATGGTATAATAAAAACTCCTCATACGTGAAACATTAGTAGAAATTCAATGTACCTTTTCTAATCTGCGACAAATAACTATCAATAGCTTGTGCAATACTGATAAGGAATAAAACAAATCCAAACCATATAACAAACAGATATACAAAGGTAAGAACTTTAGTTTGTACCTTCCTCAAGGCAGTGGCGAGCTCACCACGAGTGAAGTTTGCTGTGGATGGAGTAGTGAGGGGGATGCCATTGCGAAATTGATAAAGGTGAACATTCTTCTGAATGTATTCAGTGAATTGAACTCTGCAACCAATAAGCAAAACAATAATTCATCAAAAGAGTGGAGATTTTGAAAGCATAAAGACTACAATCTTTGAAAGGAAGCATCGTACCAAAACAAAATCAAGCATTGAAAGGAGATCATATGAGAAGAAGTAATCAAGCGCAGGAAACAAGATCATAGGAGCAGACGCTTCTGAAAAGAATCTTTGGATCAAACATTTGGGTTTCAATTATAGAGGGGCATTAGGGGATTGTGAGGAGTACAAACTTTGGTTTGAAGGAAAAATCTTTCATTAATAGAAGGAGCACATGAAATAGCTGGAAAAAAAATTAGGTTCCGACAGCTATGGGCAAGATTAATTTGACAATAAATAACCAAAGAAAACATAATCACATAAACCACGGTTTCGATCCTAACTTGAACAAATTAGGGTTCTGGAGAGAGCAACCGACCGGATCAAACGCGCCCCAGAATTAGGGTCTAAAGAGGCAACACCAGGGTTTAGAGAGACTTTTCAAAATAACAAAAACAAAGAGTTGAGAGACAACAATTGGTAGAGAGAGAATGCGGTTTTACCTATCTCCACTCTCTCCACTCGCGCCCATGAGCTTATGCGAGTCGAGGATCATGATCTTATCCTCGTTTTGTTTATGAACTAAAATACTGTGCACGGCTGATGTATCAGCAGCTATCAAAGCGAACCCATCACCTACGAGTCCAAAAACGCACTCCATTACTCTCTCTGAGTTGAACCTCTCTTTTCTCAGATGGCCTCACCCTTTAGGTAGGGTTTGATAACTTTCACTGCAGTGTCCCTGGGAATCAACCCTGCTGCTAACTTCCTAGATTCTAGGATGCAAGTGAAAATTGATAGGGTGAAAGCGGGAAACCCTGTTTGATAAACTGTGCTGCTGGTAATTTCACTTGTTTGGCAATGGGAGAGCTGAAAACTGCCTGTAATAATTGATATGATGTCAAAATGCAGTTTTTTTAAAATATTTTGTAATTAAATAAGGTTTCTTCCATTCATCCAACAAATTACCAAATTGAGAAAAATCTAGGTCTATTTTTTGAATAATAATACTAAATAAAAAAAAGAAGCCAGGTTTATTGACATACAATTCCTAAGAATGCATTGAAAATCAAATCCTAGTCTACAAGAATCACTTCATTCTAACCCCAAGACAACAAAACAATGGCCAATTCACAATCCCTGGTATAACTAAGGAACTATATAAAATTAATCAAAGGAGCATTAAGAAGAATAGAACACTAATCAATGGAAGAAAGGCACATAAGAAGCTGCTATTTCAACAAGAAAAAAAAAAAACCCAGATCATCATATAGTGATTCAAATGAACACAAATCTACTACTACTATTACTTCAAAAGAAGATAAATAATAACCAAACATCTATTCTTTATTAGATGCTGAACCAAACAAAGACAAAAGAAAAAATAAAATACAAATCTCAACCAGATGGAACCATTAGGGTCAGAATAAGAAAAAAATAAGCAAGAGTAATCAGTGTATGATTGCTTTACCATAATAGAGATAGAGAGTAATGCTTACCATAAGGAAACAAAAAGAGTAGCGAGATGCAAAGCTCTGAATAAATCCATGGCAGACTTATAAAAGATAAGAGAAAAGCATTCTTATTAGATATACTCAAAACTACTCAAAGAGATAAAAGAGCAGGAAATAAATTTTCTGCTTTCAAGAAAGAATTTTTTTTTATCAGATGCATTGCACAACAGACAGTGCCAAGGAAGAACAATTTTCTATAAGATCGAGCTGCATAATATTAGAGACGATGCATACAAACACCCTGATTTCAGATAGAAGCAAAACATAAATTAAAATAATAAAGCCACTCTTAACATGCCATAAAAATACACAGAAAATACATATAGAAACCTAAATCATGATATAATATACAGTAATAGACCATAACATCAACAAGGGGACCAGTTCCAAGTGAAGAACATGCCTAACACTATTGAAAATCAAAATAAAAAAATATGGATGTAACAAGAAAAAAAAAATCCGTGGATTAAAGAACAAAATAAACAAGAAGGCTAATAAATTAATACTTCCATCCAGTGGAAATATATGTAAACATCAGATTGAAAAATCAACCAATAATTAAATATATGTATTTTTTGAATATGTATCAATAAATAAACATAATCCCAATCTACTGTAACAATGACTCCAATAAACCCTGATCAACCACCAACAAACATCAAAACAATAAAACCAATTTCCTAATTTCCTAAAGACTAAGAATACATCAAACACACCAACAAATCCTAATTTCCTAAAGCACTAATTTTATCAACAATAGTATATAGAATTGCAGCAAAATTTAACGGACTGATTTCCGGATAATCTGAGTTAACTCACTGATTTGGGGTTTACCAGAAAAAATAGTACATTTTTTTTTTTTAAAATCACTGCTTTAAGGTTTACCATCACAATAAATAGTAAATAAAAAAAACTCACCGACTCGTGGCTTCAATCTCTGTAATAATGATAATGGCGATGGAGCGAGGGCTGTTGTGGGCGTCTTTTTCTTCTTGGACCTAAGGCTTTCACAGGCTTCACGGGCATTCTCTTCCTCAAGGGCTACTCGCAGAGAGAGAACGAAGGAAGGGAGGAGAGAGAGAATGGAAAGCTCGCATAAGCGTTCGAGGGAGAACGTTTTGAGGGGTGAAAGTCTGGCCAACTTTTATGTAATTAAATAAGGGTGCGGTTTGTATAGAGCCTAGGCTCTAAACAATCAAATTAGAGCCTACCTTCAAATAGTGTCAATAATTGTGGTTTCAATATTGGAAATATTTGTGATAGCCTTAAAAAGTATATTTTCATATTTATTTATAAAGTTTAAACTTTGAAAAATAGTGTAGATCGACATATTTATAAAAACTTGAAAATCATGAAAATTGACAGTAAAAAAATGCATTACAAAATACACTATTTCTAAAACTTATAATCCATTGTTTTTCTCATGTTCTTACATGTCGAGATGATGAATTTGAGGATATTTATGTATCAAAACAACCTCTTCTAAAGAAATTTTCGAGACAGGCTCAAATTTGATTGTTTAGAGCCTCGACTTTATAAAAACTTTTCCATTAAATAAAAGGACAAGTTTATATAGAGTGAGGCCAAACAATCAAATTAGGGCCTACATCAAAATTTTCATTAGAAGTTATTGTTTTGATGCTTAAATATCCTCAAATTGATCATCTCAGCATCAAGATGTATGGACATGAGAAAAAAATAGATTTCAAGTTTTGGAAATAATGTATTTTGTAATGCATTTTTAGACAGTTAATTTTCATGTTTTCAGAGATCAATCAATTTACACTATTTTTGAAGCTTTAAATTTTATAAATAAAGATGAAAATATATTTTAAGGCTATCACAAAGATTTTCAGTATTGAAATCATATTTCTTGACAATATTTGAAGGTAGGCTCTAATTTGATTGTTTAGAGCCTAGGCTCTATACAAGGGTGCAGTTTGTATAGAGCCTAGGTACTAAATGTTTGTATAGAGCCTAGGTACTAAATGTTTGTATAGAGCCTAGGCAGTAAACAATCAAATTAGAGCCTACATTCAAATAGAGTTGAGAAATGCGGTTTTAATACCGAAAATCTTTGTGATAGTCTTAAAATATATTTTTATCTTTATTTATAAAGTTTAAAGTTTAAAAAATACTGTAGATTGACAGATTTATGAAAACTTGAAAATCTTGAAAATTGACAGTTAAAATAAGTTACAAAATACATTATTTCCAAAAGTTGAAATCTATTTTTTTCTCATATCCATGCATCTTGATATCGAGATGATCAATTTGATTATATTTAAGGATCAAAACCATCATTTCTGGTGAAATTTTTGAAGTAGGCTTTAATTTTATTGTTTAGAGCCTTGGCTCTATATAAACTTTTCCCAAATAAACAATACAAATAAAAAAATTAGATACCATCTACTTTTGATGCCGGGAGGTCATAATCATTCTGGACTATTACATTTGAAATTAGATGATCCATGATATTATTATTTAGGTACAAAGTCTAAAACAAAATTTCTCAAATATTGTGTCATACTTTTATCTATTGGATTTGACACCCAATAGTTAAAGTGATTGTTATCTTATTGCACAAAAAATAAAGAAAAATTGTTTCCTACGTGGTAGACCGCATTTCTACAATATGCTGTCCAGAGGTATAAAACATTCATCTTAAATATGGATGCAAATATGCGGTCCATCTAAAAACAAATGTAACTAATTGTCCAAATGTTTTATTATTATTATTATTATTATTATTATTATTATTATTATTATTTTTAGTTTCTATTTTTTTTTCTTTTCATATTCATGATCTCTATGTTAGATTATATATTCTCTAAAAATTAAGATTAAATTATATTTTAAAAATATATTTATTGCCAAGCCCTCATTTCTACAATATGCAAGCTGACCGCATAGAAACTGTGTTTAAAAATAAATAGTCTCATAATATATAATTCCAAATAGGAAAAGTATACAATAAGACAATTTATTTGGATATGGTTTGTATAAGTTTCCAACCTTAAATAATCAATGTAAGGCACACCACTAGAATTTATCATAAGATGTAATTTTGGTATAAAAAAAATCTTAAGATGGCATCATAATCTATTTTCATTTCTAGTTATAAAATTTTAAACGACAATAATGGTTTAAATCAAGTAATCTATAAACACATTACAATCTTGAAAATAAACAGTCCATATACTATATTACAAGATGCACTATTATTGGGACTCAAAATCTTTTTTTTTTTACATCCATGCATCTCGATGTCGAGATGATTAATTAGAGGGTTCCCCAACATCAAAACAACATTTTCCAATGGATTTTGAGTTGCACCTTAATTTTACAATTTAAGGTTGCAAATTTATGTAAACTTTTTCCATTTACTTTGAATACGAGGAGGTTTCAAATATATTTGACCGCTGGATGTAAAATGGAGTGGCGGTGGAGATATCAATAAATTGACACAAAGTCTACAGTAAATTTCCTTGAACTCCATGAACCATCGATTTTACATCCAATGGCTAGAATTGATTATAACCTATACACTAAAAATAAGTAAATAGTTTTATAGTATACACTCCCTTATAGATAAGCACCCTTATGAATAAGCAGAACCACAGTGGCTACTGAGAAAGCAAATGCTTCTGCAAAAGGCCATCTCCGTTCAAATCTAATGAGTCGTGGACGGAGACCAAAGGGGTTATTAGAGATATACATAGCTGAACTATTTGATGATATTTTTAGAGGTATCAAAGCTATAAGGAAATTATAAAAAATATACTTTTATTTTTGCATTATCGAAAATAAATCCTGTAATTTTTTAAACCTCATCCAAACCATTTTTATTTAATTTTTGGGTTGTTGAGACTAAAATAGCCTTTATAAAAATCTTATGACTGTGAAGACATCGCAGTAGACCCAATACCGTGATAGTCATGGGCTTTTCGAGCATGACGGCTAAGAGGATCACGGTACTTAGATAACTGTGATAATCGAAGGGAAGAGAGGGCGGAAGAGAGAGAGAGAGAGAGTAGACGTGAGGAGTTTGAGGCCCATCCAGGAAGAAGGCTTTTGCCCCCCCCTATTCTCCTATTTATTCCTGCCACTTTCCTTCACAAATCTCTCTGATACTCGAATCCCCAACCCACCACCCCTCTCTCTCTCTAAAAACCACTCTCTCCAATTAAAGAACTACTCTTTCTTTCACGGTTCAGAACCACTCTCTCTCTCTAAAACCCATATACAAAAACACTCGCTCCAAGTAGAAAACTACCCTTCGCAGTTAAGAACAAGTAAAAAAACCTCTCTCCATAGCGATCAATAGTCTGCTTTCAAGGGTTGTAATGATCCTCTCAAAGACTATCCCCGTAGTTTAAGTGCTATTATACCCCAAAAACCCATGACCATCACTGTATTGAGTATAATGTAATGTCTTTTCGACTGTCGTGAAGACTATTTTTTATCGTATCTATCTAAAAATTGGAAAAAAAAAAAAAATTGAAGGTATGGATAAGGTTTAGAAGAGTATAGAGTTTATTTATGATAATACGAAAACATAAATTACTTATACTAAATAATATTATCCATATTTATTGTTTATCACAAGTTAAAATATCGTAAACCCGCAGTTCTCAATTTAAGAGGAAGGAAATGGATGGTTTGAAATTTCGGTATTAGATTCATTTGAAAATCTATGTTTATGTTTTATTTAATCAAATGGAAAAATGATTGGATAAGTGCAAGAACTCTTACTTGTATTGAAAAAAAAAAAAGGTTTATACATGGTGTCAATTTTATATTGTAGAAGAGTGTTTATAAATCTGCTCCGTCCACACTATCTATAGAAATTTCGTAATTAATAGTGAAAATATGTTCATAGAAGTTTCTAGTACTAAAGCTGTCGAGTTTAAAAATATGCTTAAGGCACCTTACAAATGGCAACCATATTTATATCGAGAAGTATCAAAAGAAGATTATGATATAGTTTGAGATCGGATGCCATGAGCATTGGTCTCAAATCTCAATACATAAGAGGCGCATGGTGGTTAGATGTAAAATTAGGGCAGCTAGAGAGTGTTATTTCTCACAAGGGAAGAGCACTATCCAATTTAACATGGGGTACTAACCAACTCATCCGAAGTAGGCTATAAAATTTTGGGAAATTCATATAAGGAACCAATTTTTTTTTTTTAGATTTGGACATTATGCGGTGAGAATCACAAGTTTTAAGTATTTTTGTTTCAATTTTACCTTCCAAAATATAACTACACCAAGTGTTTGAGTGATTCCGGCAAAAATATGAATATTTGGGCGGCTTCAAAGTAATATTTTTGGGTATGGTTGCAACTTTATTTGCAGACATACGTTTGTGATACTTTACAACATCTATTTGTTTTTTACCATATAGTTTTGACACAGCCAATGTCAATATATAGCATAGTTTCTAAGATAATGCCTAATCTTAATCACTATAGTAAAATGGACGGTGTAGATTGCCGCGACCTTTATTTCTAAGAATAAAGTTGTCATATTATATAATTTTTTTTTGTTTTAAACTTTTTCTTTGTGCATTACAATGGTAAGTGGCTTTTGTTTTTTTTTTTTATTATTATTATTATTGTTATTTTTTCGCATAGCTCAAAATCCTTATTTTTTCAGTTAAAATGGAAATAATCATTTTTTTTGGGTAAGTAATATGAAAGTAATAATTGATAATTGTTTTTCTACTAAAACTAAAGATTATATCCTGCTTTATACGCAGGAAAGTTATTGTTCCAAAAAATTTAACCACAAAATAATACTATTTATTAAAAAAAACTATCGCATCAAAACTTTATCAAAAACTCACATGAAAACTTTGTCACCCTAAACTGTTATCACTCTCCAAAGCTCTTTGTTTCTCCTTTCTCACAGTCAAGTTCTCTTTTCACCGTTGGAATCTATCTGAAAATATCGTCTTTCTTTTGTTGACTCTGACTCGAAAAAGAAACGATCTTCTCCTATATAGCCTGGTTCTTTATGGCCTTACTTTAGGGCCTTATTCTCTCAATTGATTCGTACTTTATGCTCTTGATTTACTCTGGTTGCCTTGAGGATATATTTCTTTGGTTTACTTACTCTCTCAATT